GGCCACGCTCTCCTGTGTATTACGCCCTGGCCTTGGCTGTGCTATAAGTGGGAATGGTGCCCTCCCCTCCTGACCTTCCTGGGTCCTGGACATGGAGCTGGTGCTGCTGTAGAACGGCTTGGATGGCTCCCTGCCAGCCACACAACTCTTCCATGCCCTGAAGCTGCTCCCCTGGAAAAGACTGGCCCCAAGCTTGTCCCTGATGGGGGCTGTCCCAGGACGCCATCCCATCCTTCTCTCATCTCCAGGGACCTCGCTGGCACTAAGGCCTCCAAAGCCCTGCCTCCTTCTAGACAAGGCCCTCTGGGCTGTGACAGGGTGGACAGGGACCTCTGCTTTGGAGCAGGAGCTGGAGGGGAACCCAGGCCTCAGCCCTGGGCCACAGCCCTGCCCATGGTCCCCCTCCTCATGCCTGCTAGAGCCCGTGGGAATTGGGGCTGCTCCCTGGCCCTGGCCTCCAACTGGCCCAGCATCGAGGCATTTGTTAATGCAATTAGCAGGGCGGTCCATGCAGAGGGGCTGGGGTCCAAGGTCTGACTCACACCTCCCTTTCCTCCCCTCCCTCTGCCAAACGGTAGAGGCCCACTCAGCCTGCCAGACAGCGTCTGCAGAGAGCTCGAGAGGGGCCAAGAACGGCATCTTTCTCTCATTAGAGGCTTTTATGTGAACACAACTGCTATTTTGGAGCCGGGCGCTTGGCTGGCCCCTGAGCCCCAGTGCTGTTCCAGCCATCCTGAGCTGAGGCCCGAGCACAGCTGCGGTGGGAGCAGGGTCAGTCCTTGAGGGCTTGACTTCTCCCACTGCCTGGAGGCTTGAGGCTGAGGTTGGGGCCTAGGGACACAGACCCTGGGCGGAGCTTGGGAGTGGAGAGGATGAGTCCCCAGGTGGATTCTAAGGTGTGGAAGCCAGACAAGCCTTTCCTTGGTCTCGGAGATCTCTGACATCTGGGCCCCCTTTCTGTGAGGGTAGCTCGGCGGGTAGGTCCTTAGTGTCACGCTGACACAAATTTTAGGGAAGATGGAGGTTTAATGGAAGAGCAGCTAAGCTTCAGGTGTAGGGGTACTGGGCCCAGAGTCTGATCTGGTGCTGAGGTTCATCTTCCAGAGAAGAGAGAATGGTATTCAAGGCCTTGGAGGAGGGTACAGGCCTAAGAGGCCCACCCAAGTCAGTGCCTCATCTAAGGGGTTATAGATGGAGGGAGGAAGTATCTCTGGGGCCCAGGAGAGAGACCTGATGACAAAATCCCTCCCTTGGGAGGGTGGGGTAGAGAGGGGACTGGCTGAATTTCACACCTGGAAAGCAGCCCTGCTTTCTGGACCACAGGCCTTGGTCCATCTCTCTAACCAGAGCCTGCATTGACATTGCCTTTCTCTGGGACAAGGGTCATAGCAGAGGTCAGAAGCCCTCTTGCTGCTGCCGTTGGGGTTATGGTGGGTATTTTTAAGCGTTGCCATGCCGTCCAATAGAACTTTCTGGGATGATGGACAAGCTCTGTGTCTTTCTGTTCAACATGGTAGCCATGAGCCACCTGTGGCTATTGAGCCTTTGAAATGTGGCTAGTACAACTGAGGAAATGAATTTTAAATTTCATTTCATTGTAACCAATTTCATCTTAAATAGCCACATACAGCTCATGGCTGCAGCATTAGACAATGTTGGACAGCCAGCTTTAAAGAATATAAAGTACTTCCACATCCATGGTCTCTGTTGAGATTCACTACAGCTCTTGGAGGCAGGAATGATCACACCTACTTTATGGATGACACGACTGAGGCACCGGTTGGAGAATCTCAGGGAGATGAGATGATCCCAGGGTCACGCAGCTGGGATGTGGCTGAGCTGGAGTCAAACTAAATCCTACTGACTCCCGACCCCATGCTCTTACTGCTACCAGGTAGTTGATCGCAGAGGCTCTCAGCAAATGGTAGGAGCAGCCCACATGGTGGGAGCTGAGCAGCCCAAACGGTGGGAGCTGTTTCCAGAATCTTCCCCAGGCCTGCCCATTCCGAGTTTGGTCTCCTCCCAAAGGTGGGGGTTTTGTGTGGAAAATCTGAGCAAATCTCTGCTTGGCTGTTTTGGAGCAGAGTGGAGGTAGAAGGGGCACAGCCAGAAGGCCGGGGGGGTGGGGTGGTGTGTAGAGGAACAATGCCTTCTATTTCTTACTTGCAAAGCAATTTTGAGAGTTTTCTTTTTGTTCCCCTCTCTTTTGGCATCCTGCTAACTCCACAGAGCTGCACTCCCAGAGCTGAAACTTTCCACATGCCCAGTCCTCAGTAAGGAAGGGAGTGCCAGGAAAGTATGGAAGTACCCAAATTATGAATGGCCATAGGCTGGCATTGGGGAGGGGGCATAGGGAGGCTGGTAACAGCATCACCTCTCGGTTGTCTAAGGATGCTGGCTTTCAATAGGGAAGGGAGAGGGTGTGTCCTCGATGGCTAAACCTGGACCTCTTGGCATCAGGCTTGAGAACCATTCACCAATAATCAAACATGTCCATCATGACTTCATGCTTCCTAACATTTCACCAATAATCGATCAAGGAAGAATCACTCGAGCCACGTCCCCATCCTGGGATGATTTCTCATGTGTAAGGCACAATCTGTGCCCTTGAGGAAAAATGGAAGGGATGAGGCTCTAGAAGTAAAACAGAAAGACTTCCCGGCCTGCCGAGTTTGGGAGTTTTCTCTCTCAAAATTCCCACAGTGCTGCATGGAGCTGTCTCTCCTGGACCCTCCACATTTCCTTCTTTGCTTTAAGCAGCAGCCCCTGCCATCTGCCATTCTGAGTTGGCTGATCTCCTTTCAGATCCTTCAGTTTTGAAAGCAGTGCTCATTTGACAGAGGGATGTTTTGCTTCAGTCTCCTTTAAACAAAAGGACACGTAGCCACTATTGCCCCCTCCTTCCCAAAGTGTCCCAAACTTTTGGATTTCATGCACCAGTAAAATATCCAAAAACATCTTGGGCACCAAAGTACAGTAGCCAGGTTTCCTTTTTGCCAAGTGAGGGTGTTAGAAAAACAAACTACCATTTGCCATCACCTTTAATTAAAAAAGAACATTTTAACACCAAAAAAGTAGAAAAGATATAATTTCAAAAATTATTAAATGGGGGGAAGAGGCATTACAAAAAACCCAGGAAACTGTTTTTATTTCCCTTATTTATGGTAGACCAATAAAAACTGTCATAAGAATGTACCCTTTCATAGACAGGCACTTGGAGCCACCATTTGGGGCCATTTTGGGGTGATTTGTGGGGAATGGAGAGAGAGGAAAGGAGTTTATGCTCCAATCCCATAATGCAGAGGCTCAACTCAGACCAAAAGTAAAGTGTTTACTTTAGTGAGGAAGTCAGTTCTTGCTGAGACTTATGAAAACATCTCAAGAGCGGATGCAAATGAAGTCGGTGAGGGCTGGCTCAACACCTCCAAAAACCTGAAACTTGTTGGAAAATCTTTCTTAGAAGATCTGATCCAGAAAGGTTATCTTCCCAGAGAGGTTTTTTTCTGCCAACAAATTGGGCTGGTTTGGAAACCTTTTAGAATTTTTATTTACCACGGTGTTATATACATATTAAATGCCATGTTTATAGTTTTCCCCCTCTAACTACCCATTTTCCATGAGCTGTTCATTGTACCAGCCGAAGCTTGCCAACCCTGGTCTGCACTGAGGACCTAACTCCCTGCATGGCAAGGGGCTTCTGTGGTTATGAGAACCTACCACTGGGCAGAGTTTCCTCTGCAGTGACCAGTGCTGTTTTCTTTGCACCCCCAGCAGCCAGTATGACCAAGAGGGTGCTTACTAACTGTTTGCAGAATGTATTAGCAAGTAAGGCACAGCCAGAAGTAAGCGAATCCACGTGAAACAGGGATTTGGGGCCTTGGGTTTTAGAGAGTAGAAGACGTTAAAGTTAAGAATGGGCTGTCCTCAGAGTCCATGAGGGGAATGGTAGAAGCTAGATTGGTTTTGAAAGGCCATCTTAAAAGCAAGGACCACCCATTCAAAGGAGGAAGTGACCTATCCTGGGAGACAGCTGCATGACCTTCCTCTCGCCCACGCCAAGCTTCGAGTCTGTCAGCAGAGAGGCGTGGCTTTGAGGGACTAGGAGTAATGCAGCATTTGTGGTCCCCATGGAAAACCACTCAGCCCTGCCCGTTCTACTCCCTCCCTAAAATAAAGCAAGGCAGAGACCTGGCCTGGGCATACCTCCTTCCCCAGTGTTTGCTGGACCTGGTTTGGCAGTGGGGCTATTGTCTGGGGGTGGTGACAGGTACCTACCTGGCAGTTAGGTGGGGCTGCGAAATCTGCTTCTGCTTCACACTGAATACTCTCCCACTCTGTTACCAGACCCCAGCCTCCCCAGACCTCTACTACTCCTAGAACATTCCATGTTCCTTCCAGCCTCCAGGGCCTTGCACTTGCCTATCCCTCTTCCTAAAAGAGCCTGCCCATATCTTTTCCCATCTACTTCCTTTGCACCAGTCATATCTGACTCTTCAGAGAGGCCTGCCCTGATCACCCCATCTAAAGCAGCTGGCCGGGCACGGACCTCTGCATCGCCTGTGATAACGCCTGATACGACATTATGCTGCTGTTTTCTTGTTTCTTACTGGTCTCCCTCACTCGCAGACTGCAAGCTCCATGTGGGCAAAGGCTTTGTCCGTAGTGCCTGGCACATAGTAGGGGCTCAGCAAATAATTGATGAATGAATGAATGGCAGATGGAGGAGACACTAGATTTAGATGGCCTAGCATGAGCTCACTGTGCTCTCCTAGGTTCCCACCTGCTCCCCAGAGGAGGTCCTGGGAGAGGTGGGCAGGCCAACCTCGCCCTGAGGCCTGTGGGTAGACGGGAAAGAGAAATGGGGCCAGGGAGCCGTCGGAGGCCAGCAGTTGGCTTCCTGCTTGAGTGGAGGAGGCCAAGCAGCACGAGGCAAGGGGCCCTTCTGACGGAGGGTGCCAGCCCCCCGGCCCCTGCCCTCACCCCTCTCCCTGTCTCCCTAGCCGTGTGCCAGCCGCCATGCCAGAACAGGGGCTCCTGCAGCCGGCCCCAGCTCTGCGTGTGCCGCTCCGGCTTCCGCGGAGCCCGCTGCGAGGAGGCCATCCCTGAGGAGGAGTTTGACCCCCAGAACTCCAGGCCGGCCCCCCGACGCTCAGCCGAGGGTTCGTCCAGCTTGCGCCGGAGCAGCGCAGCCAGAGAAAGCACAGCGGCCAGAACATGGCCACTGACACCACGGCTGCCGCCAGCCAGGTAAGTCCCCTCGTCAGGGGGACGTCGGGCCTGGGGCTTCTCCCTTAGACTGTTGGGTGAAGATCTTGGTCCTTCCTTCCCTCGTCCTCACTGCCCTCCCATTCCCCTGCTCCCTCCAGATGTGCGGGGAGCAGGTGCTGGGGCTGGCGTAGGCTTTGCCAGGCTGGGGTGGACAGGGAGGTGGGAGGTAGGACAAAGCTGAGGTGGGCATGTCCCTGGGACCAGGCTCTTTAGCTGCCAGTCCTGGCATTGTCACTTCCTAGGTGGGTCACCTTGAACAAGGTACCTGATTCCTGCTCAGTGGGAGGGGACAATGATGACCATAATCATGGAGCTGTAAGGATTAGGTTAGTCAACACAAGGAAAGCGCTAGAACCGTGCCTGGCAAGTAGTAAACTCTTTATAAATGTCTCTCCTTCCCCTTGTCCCCCTCCACCTGTGGTCTCAGCAATGCAGAGAGGACTCCTCTGCCTGAAAAGCCCCTTCGGTTCACTCTCCACCCAGCGCTAAGCCCTCTCCTTGGAGGGCTGAGAAGGAACGTATGGGGGAAGGGCGTTGAAGAAAAAGTGGGCAAAGGGAGTGTTCACGGGCAGGGTTCCCTGGCCCGCGTGCCAGCTGCACTGGCGAGGCTTTTCCTAGCTCAGGCAGGAAACCTGAACTTTGTAAACTGGTCCATTTCTAGAGAGCTGTGTTTTCTCTTTTGGTTTTTCAGGTTAGTTTTTCCATTCGCTTTCCACTTAGGAAGTTCTTTGTGAGATGTTGCAACCTTGTCTTGCTGAACTAAGGGGAAAAAAGGATTTGCCCTTTCAGAGGCCAGGAGAACCAGGGAGAAAAGATGGGTCCCCAGTGGAAAGCTCAGGAGAGAAAGGAAAGGAGCCTGAGGTTGTCCAGCAACTCTGAAGAGGAGGCCAGGCCAACCAGGGTCTTGGTAAGGTGGAGTTTTAGGGCCCGACCACCCAAGCAGGTGGTTTCCAAAGGCAGCCAGGAGCAGAAAGAGCTGAAGGATGAACTCAGGTCAAAGCCTAGGGGGCTCCAATGTCAAAACCAGAAGAGCCAAACCCTTAGGCCAAGGCCTGGGGATGCTGAGACAGAGAGGGGCAGAGCTAAGTGTCTAGGTGGACAACAAAGGGGCAGGTGGACATGGCCTGAGCTTTGTTCTGAGTTGTCCCAGCTGTGGGTTTCAGGTGGTGAGAAGGCACCTTGAGGAGCCCCAGTGGTACCAGCTCCAGGGCCAGCCTGGGGCAGGGTGGGAACAGAGTCCTTCTAGCTGGACTTCCTCCCTGCAAGCTCTCTGTTGGCTTGTGTGATTCATTCATTTCATGATGCACTGATCTTCTCTGTATGTGTGTGTTCATGTGTATGTTTGTGTGTTCAGGTATGTGTGCATGTGCGTGTGTGTGCCCATGCGTGTTGGAGGGTGGTTGCTTGGCAGGTGATTCTGCTCTCGCACCCTTGAGTCAGAGCTATCTAATATCCCCTGCCCGATCTTGCCAGCCCACCCTGCCCTTCACATTCTTCAAGGCCCGTTCCTGCTTCCTCCAAACCTCCCCTCCCAGGCACTTCTACCCAGCTCTCTGACTTCCTGCATCACACATTGGCATGCATCTCTGTGGGTCTGTGCCCTGTGTCTGCAATCAGACTGTGTGGCCTGTGCCCTAGAAGGCAGGAACTCCATCTCACACCCTGGATTTCTCTGCAGCTCCTCCCACGGTCCTAGCTTATAGAAAGCACTCAGTCTGCATTTGTACTATCACTTGGTCCAAACTGAAGAGTTAGCATTGAACCCTCACCCTGTGCCTGGAACTGAGGGCATGGCTCGGAGTGCAGGGGGAGGCTCCCTGCCTTCCTGTAGCACTTTTCACTCTGCTTGGGGTGGTCTGTTTATTTGTTCCCTGGACCAGGAGCTCCTGAGAGCAGGGACTCTGTCCTGCTCATTCATGAATGTGGCCCTGGTACTTAAAACTGCAGGTACTCATTCAACAGAAGTTGAATGAATAAATGAATGAGGCTTGATGCTGGGGAGAGGAGGAAGCTGGGAGGAAAAGAGGATGAGCTATGGGAGCCTTTGATCTCCCAGTGAAGGTTTCATTTGTGCAAGACGTGCTAGAGGGCAAAGGCCCAGGGTGAGGTCTGTGGCCCACAGCAGGGCCACCCTCTTTGAGCTTCACAGGCTCCCTGGCCAGGGGCTACTGTGATGTTTTTAATGAGCTGCATCCTCCAGGCCAGCCCAGTCTCTCTGCCCTGGGACCTCAGTGCCATGAAATCTGGGAAAGTCCGAGTGGCCCGCTGTCGGCCCAGCTGTGTTTTGCTTCTGGAGGCCAAATCCTGCTTGCGTTGTGGTGTCAGACATTTCCTGTGAGTGTAGCCAGGTTTCCCAAGCAGCTGCTTGCCTCTCTCCTGGTGGCAACTTGGACAGGCCCTTGGTGTCCAGCTAGAGGGAGTGACATGACTCAGGGGCACTCTAAGAGCGAGAGAGGGGTACAAATGTCCAAGAGAGGGGAGACACTGCAGGAATTGGTGACAGCCAGAGGTCCCTGTTAAGAGAGGATTAGCTAGAGGCCAAAAGACTTGTGTCCCAGAAGGAAGATGAGAGGGAGAGGCCAGGAGAGTCTGAGGCAGCAGGCAACACACCCTACACAGAGCCAGACATGGATAGATGTTGTCCAGCTGTGGCCTGGGCTGACTGCTTCTTCTGAGGTCTGGGGAACAAGAGCCAGGCAGCTGGGGAAGGGCCTTGAAGATTGGGGAAGGGGTGGTTACAACAACCTGAAACCAGCAGACCTTAGAAAACAGTGCTTCACACAGTTCTCAACTCTGCAATGGAAAGGGAATTGCCTGGGAACTTGTTAACATGCAGCTTCTGATTCAGCAGGTCTGGGGTGACTGTCAGGTCTCAGGTGATGCTGATGTTGCTGGTCCATGGACCACACCTTAAGTAGTGAGAATCCTAGCCTGAGTCAGTAGTCTCAACCTGCTAGGATTGCAGAGAGGATTAAATGAGATCACATGCGTAGAGCACTTAGAATGGTGCCTGATTTGAGTTAGTGCTCAATACCTGTTCGCCATCAGCAGGGCGGTTCTCTTTGCCTTAGGGACTGGAGTGGACAGAAGACTGTGGCAAAGAGCAGACAGAAAACTAGGGTGCGTGCATGTGGCTGTGCGCGCGCGCGCGCGTGTGTGTGTGTGTGTGTGTGTGTGCAGACCTGCTCTGGGGAGAAGCCAGAGGTCAGACCCAGCCTCGCGGGAGGTTTGACTAGCAGATGCAGCAGTAGCACCAGTGGTGGCTTTGTCCAGCTTGGTTGTTCCACCAGGACGAGTCTCAGCGGCTTTATGGCAGATGGGATCAAGGGGAATTGTCACATTTCTCAGAATGGGAGGGACTTCCACTGGGTTTGCCCCTTAGCCTGACCTGAGGACTTAGAGGCTGACTCCTGGGGACATTTAAGCATCTTAGTCAGTACTTGGGCAACAAGGAGCCTGGAGGACAGTGTTGAGCACAGCAAACGGGGATGGCAGAGAGGTGTGGACCCCAGTGGGCTCTCAATTGGGCTGGTGGTGGCTTTCAGTGGGCTGCTCCCCAAGAAGGCAGCTCTTCTCTGCATACTCCCTCTCTTTATATCCTCTGTATTAATTTTCTATGGCTGCAATAACAAATTGCCACAAATTTAGCAGCTTAAAACAATGCAAATGATTACCCTACAGTTCTATAGGTCAAGTTAAGGTATCACAGGGCTGAGTTCCTAGAGGCTCTAGGGGAGAATACATTTCCTATTCATTCGGGTTGTCAGCAGAATTCAGCTCCTTGCAGTTGTAGGACTGAGGTCCCTGTTTCTTTGTGCTAGCATCTAGAAGCTGCCCACATTCCTTGACTTGTGGCCACCTTCCTATCTTCAAAGCTAGCAATGGTGGGTGAACTCTTCATGTTTTGAATTCCCTCTGCTTCTTCTTTGGCTGAATCTCTCTCACTGACTCTTCTGTTTTCTCCTTTAAGGGCCTATGTGATTACATTGGGCCTGGAAAACCCAAGCCAATCTCCCTATTTTAAGGTCAGCTGATTAGCAACCTAAATTCCATCTGCAATCTTAATTTCCTTTTGCCATTTAATGTAACATGTTCCAAGGCATAACACCAGGGGACAAAGATCATGGGGGCCAGCCACACCCAACCACTGCCCCCCATTCCTGCTGGGACCCTCCATCTGAAGTGTGATAGCTCCATTGTCAACAGCTTGCCACAAGGGTAGCCCTACAGGACCTGGCCCCAAAAACCTTTCTGACATCTCTGATGCTCACCACTTGCTCTCCTCATTCACCCTGCTTCTGCCATACCAACCAACTGGTGTTTCCCCAAACATGCCAGACCAGCTTTCACCTTAGGGCCTTTGCACTATGCCCCTCCCTGGAACACTGTTAGTTTCCTAGGTCTGTGATAACAAATTACCACAAACTGAGTGGCTTACAACACCAGAAACTTATTCTCTCACAGTTCAGGAGGCCAGAAGTCCAAAATCAAGGTGTTGGTAGGGTTGTTCATTCTGGAGGCTCAGAGGGAGAATCTGTTCCATGCCTCTCTCCTAGCATCGGTTGGCTCCTGGCAATCCTTGGCATCCCTTAGCTTATAGCTGCATCATCCTAATCTCTGCTTCTGTCATCATATGGTCTTCAGTGTATGTGTGTGTGTGTGGTGTCCTTCTTATAAGGGCACCAGTCATTGGATTTAGGATCTACTCTAATCCAATCTGACTGCCTCCAAACCTAACTAATTACATCTACTAAGACTATTTCCAAATAAGTTCATATGAACAAGTTGGGGGTAGGACTTCAATATCTTTTTGGCAGACACAATTCAACCCACATCAAGCACTTCTCACACATATCTGGCTTGCTTCCTCCCCTTCAGGTCTTTCCTTCTCAGTGGGGCCTTCCTCAGTCACCCAGTTTAAACCTGTGTATCCCAAGCACTTCCTACCCCCTAATATTTTTCTGCACAGGACTAACATC